GCACACGCACACGCACAGGCACACGCCCACGCCCATGCACACGCACACGCCCACGCACATGCACATGCCCACGCACATGCCCACGCACACGCACATGCACCGGCACACATGCACATGCCCACGCACACGCACACGCACAGACACACGCACACGCACACGCACACGCACAGACACAGGCACACACACAGGCACACGCACATGCACACGCCCACGCACATGCACACGCACACGCACACGCACACGCACACGCACACGCACACGCACACGCACACGCACACGCACACGCACACGCACACGCACACGCCCATGCACAAGCACACGCACACGCACAGGCAGGGCTGTCCCTGCGTCTCATCACCTTCAGGCGGAACTCCGGCTCCACCACAAACTAGTTCTGTGGCCTCAGGCAGGGACTCAATGGGCCTGCACTTCTGCTTCCTCTTTGCGAACAGACAGATAAGAACGGCACGAAGGAGCTAGCAGACACCTGGCTCCCCGCCAGCGCTTGTCACGTAAAACGAAACAAACCGGGAAGTTTAAGGACAGTCAGCAAACCTGGGTCTATAACCTTAGGGAGGCCGAGCTGGCCTCCCTGGAAGATGAAATCAGTTCACCCTCGTATCCACTCTCAGGCGGTAGCCAACGGGCTGTAGGGGGGCCAGTACGTGAGGACAGAATTTAAAGAGTTTTGGCAACAAAAACGGTCCTCTAACAACCAAAGAACTCACATACTTATATGCATAACCCGTGGGCACGGGCAATAGGGGAGTGAAGAACTGGGGGGGGGGGGCACAGGGAGGGGGAAATGGGAGATATCTGTAATACTGTCAATAATAAAATATATATTTTAAAAAACTGTCGTCTAGCCGAAACCGGTTTGGCTCAGTGGATAGAGCGTCGACCTGCGGACTGAAGGGTCCCAGGTTCGATTCCGGTCAAGGGCATGGACCTTGGTTGCGGGCACATCCCCAGTAGGGGGTGTGCAGGAGGCAGCTGATCGATGTTTCTTTCTCATCGATGTTTCTAACTCTCTGTCTCTCTCCCTTCCTCTCTGAAATCCATAAAAATATATTAAAAAAAAATATCCTAGGGTGAGGATGAACAACAAAGCTATAGGTGACAGTTTTTTAAAAAATATATATTTTATTGATTTTTTACAGAGAGGAAGGGAGAGAGACAGAGAGTTAG